TTTTGCATTTCAAATACTTTTCAAATACTTTTTGACTAATGTATTTTAAATACTTAAAAAATACTTTTTATTTGTATTTTTATTCTAGAATACTAAATACTTTTTTACCTTTTCGTGGTCTACTCCAAATTCCAATTACTAACAATTCGGAATGTACTATTTTAAATTTTGTTTATAATATTTTAAAATCGTTCTAACATCTGATCATTTATAAATAAGGTTTCGCCAAATTACAAGCAGATAACAGAGTGACTGAACACTGAAACCCCTATCGGCTTCTCACTCCCATATTATACCATGGCATACAAGACACTGACCACCACTGGTTGGATTGGCATTTATCTTGAATCTTTAAATAGTCTTTCTTCTTATTTAATGGGTGGTACAGTGGTAGTAGTTTATAATTTGAATATAAGATATTGGTAATAATGTTGTTGAACTTTTAATCTTGTCATATTTATTTTAATATGTAAAATACTAAAACTGTATAAAATATTTTTACAATAAGATTGTCCTTATGGAGGGATACATAAAATGGTTTGGTTGGCTTGATTAAAGAAAATAATCAATAATAGTACTTCATGACATGGATAGTAGTGGTTATAGTCGACTATAGTCATTGAATTGATTGAATTATTGATTATTAATTATTCATTTATTGATTTTAAAATAAAGTATTTTAAATACAAATTACACCAAGTATTTAAATACATTTGAAAAGTATTCTTAACAAGACTGAGTCTACTTAGTACATATGCTTTTTATAACTTTTTATTTTTAAGTGGTAGTTAGGTTTTTAGATATTTTAAATTAAAATTTTTGTATTTGTATGTTGGAAATGCTGTTATTTAATTTTTAAATATTTTTTATGCGGGAAATTTTATGTCTCTGTTATCAAAATCTGGTATATTATAGATAAAATAAAATATAATTATTATCAAATAATATAATAATTATCATTCAGTGGAACAGTGAAACCCCACAAACAAAAATATAATTGTATAATATAATTTTTAGAAATTCAATGTTGGCAATACATTTTATGCCGCTGTCTTTCGATCCGGGTCTTTATCATTTTTCGGACAACTGCCCCCTTAGATCATATACAATGGATAGAGCCATACGAACTATTTGTGAAGCCAACATCATTGTAGGACCTCGGTGATATGCGCATGTGCATGGTCTCTTATCATTAATGTGTGGCACAGAGACGCAGAGTGCAGAGTCGCACTGCAGACGCGCAGTTAAGATAAACAGATTGATGTATTATGATAAGCAGTCACGCATGCGCAGATGTCACAGGTCCTACAGTAATGTTGGCATCAACTCATTTTATACGCGTAGACGCGTAGTATGCTATGACTCCATCCATTGTATATGATCTAAGACTGCCCCCGACCCGTCGTACGCTGTCTACTGATTACCAACTATTTTAAGAAAATCATCGATTGTAGGTCTATTTTTAATCCATTCTGTATTATGTTAACTGCATAATCAATAATCATAATACGATATACAGTGTAACACATTCTGAAATTGCTTACGCGCAACTGTTGTTTTCGAATAGTCTATAATGCCATAGTGGGGGTCACGTATTTAACTAGCGTTTGTAAGCACATTTGATTTTGCTTACGCGAGAAACAAGAAGCGACCAGTACGGCAGTACGTAGCTCGACGCGTTGTAGACTGAAGTCGTTTTTAGGTACACTGTCACTGTCATTCGCCTAATAGACTTTTGAAGTATTTATACTTCAATTTCTTTATTTTCTCCAATTTGATTTGTACAACTAGTATATTTTTAAAAATATTAAAAATTTTAAAAGGATAACATTTTTTTATACATAATTTATAATTAGGTATTTAGGTATAGTACCTATATTCTAATCACTTTTGAAAAAAAATTTCACTGCTTACATCTTTTTAATACCCACGCCACGCCACTGGAATAACCATATGGCAACCAATAAATAAATGCTAATTTCTAATGTAGACTGTAACCAATGGCAACTAATTAATAAATAAAAATAAAATTTCCAATTTCCATCTTGAATCTCAATGTCCCTGTTTGAGCACCTATTTAAAATGCGAATTTCGAAAAATCCTCTCTTAGCGCACGTCTACATCATAATAACTAACTGTATGCCAAATTTCAGCCAGATCCGTCCAATGATTTGAGCTGTGCGTTGATAGCAGTCAATCAGCTTACTGTTTTTTATATATATTATAATATAGGTATAATAAAACAACATTACCATGACAATATTTATTTATTTACGGACATGTACGCTTTCGCGTTCGTACGCCGCCCGTTCGCTTTTTTTTCCTCACTACCGTGCGTAAAGAAGTATAACTTCAAAAAAAAAAAAAAGGTACTATCACATTGTACCTAAATTTACAATATTATAATAGTACAATAAATTGATTTAAGTCATTTTTAACACCTGAATGCTAAATAAACATGATTACAATATTATACTTTATATTTTTAATTTTTATAATCATACTGTATTTTATAGGAGATCCATTCTATATAGAAACCTTTAAAAAATTAATATTTGAGTTACTAAAATTGTATAAATATTAAATGGCAATAAGCCAATCATTGTATTATAGTATAGGCTTATTACTTCATTATTTGCATATCAAAATGGGTAATATTTAATTATCTTAAATCATTTTAATAACTAAAAATAACACCTTATTTTTTTTTATACCATGTGTATAATACCTCGTATAATACACTATACAGTTTTATACCGCTGTATAATACAAACTCACATCTCTAGTAGAGAGTATAGAACAAGTGTCCTGTAATTGCGGGTAAACCGCTATTTGGGGTAGAGCGCAACACGATAGCCGGTGGTGATTTTGTAAATGTAAGTTTCAATTTTTAAATAATAAATACTTCATTAGCAAAATTCAATTTTTTGTATAACAATTCTTAATTATTTAGGGTGATGGAACTGCGGTTATGACTACGTACGGAGCAGATACATTTTTAGATTAACATTTTAAACTTAACCATGATGCACCTGGACTTTTATCAATGGTAACTGTATACTATAATTTTATATAAAATGTATAAATTATTTTTTAGATTCTCCACAATAGGCAAACAGTGGTATAGATACCAACAGGTGTCAGTTTTTTATTACTTGTGCAACTGCAACTTTTTGGATGGAAAACATGTGGTATTTGGCCATGTCATTGATCGATTGTTGGTAATGAGAACAATCGAAAATGTTCCTACTGTTCCCAACAACAAACCAAAAATACATATTGTCATATCACAATATGGACCGTTATAAAAGTTATGAATTGTACTTTTTTTTATATATTATATTATATTTCATGTAGAGGTGTTCCGGGTACCCGGCCAACGAGTCCAAGCCGGGTACCCGATATCATATTTAACATTGTCCGTAAATTAACGAATTCTCATACAAAAACTGTAGATACTTGAAATTTTCACTATAATATGTTTATTCTATTATATCCTAAAATGTATTTCAAGTATGACATTATTTATATTTATAGTTAAAATTTAGGTGATTGTACCTATCTGTAAATCAAAGACCAAAATCTAAATTACCAAATACAAAAAGACAACTTCGATCAAATTATTTTATACACATTTTATTATTATATACATTTTAATACATTAATACAACACATAACATTATAAATTTAACGTATAACCAATTTATTTATTTATTTTTCAATTTTGTAATTTTCAGCTGCAAAAAATTCAGCCAGACCACGCACCTGGTCAGTCCGCCTCTGTGCAAGGTACAAGTTTGTACAACATAAAACCATGGTTAACTGGATCGTATGAAATGAGCGTCATTCATTTGGGCGAATAATCCAAAATGTATTTGAGTAAAGCATATATCATTGGCTTTAGTCATTTTGCACCAAAGTTGATCCAAAATACATACATGTGTAATTTGCACCATTTTTTTAAAATGCGTTTGTAATTTGCCTCCAAAGTAAGGACAATATTATGTAATTTGCAACATCCTCAGGTAGTAAGAAATAGGAACAGTAATTTTCAATAAAACTGAAATTGATTATTTCTTCGATAATATCTCGATAGTACCGACTTTCAAGTTTCTATATCCCAATATTAATTTAGCTTAGGTTTTTTAAATTATAAAATTTTTTATTGGATACATTTTGTCATAATTTGAACTTGAGTCTTGAACATATATTCAAATATTATTTTATTTGAAATGTGGTTTTTACAGAACTGTTCCGAGTAGCAAAACTATGTACTAGTGCTGTGGCCACCACTCAAACCCCTGAAACCAAACCGGCAGTTGCTGTCACTAATGAATCAATTATTGTGCCGGGGTTCCCAAAACCTAATGGCCAACCCCAGCCGAATCCGTTCAACGGTCCTGAACGTGATCTAGTTAATTTTCCTAGAATGGTGAGGTTAGAAGATCAACCTAAAACTAGATATTTGTTCGTGCCCGAAGAGTGGTTTGAAATATTTTACGAAAAGACTGGAGTCACAGGTAATGATACAAAACGTTACTCCATTACCTAGATGTTGTTGCTCGTCCAAATGATTTATTAGATAAATTAGGGGTCCGTGTAAATTTCGCCCAAAGAAGGTCCTCCTAAAAAAAGAAAATTGAATAGATAAAATATTATAGATACTATATTATAATACGGCTTTTTTACAATAAAATACCATACCTCTTTGTAGGCTTGAACGGCTCGTTCACGATAAACAGCTTCCAACTGAATAGCTACATTCTCCCGTTTTGCTTGTATTACGTGTTTTTCAGCTTCAGTTCTACATTTTTCTATTTTTTTGGTTTTCAACGGTTTTTTTTAAACTGTCGATTTCACCTTTTCGACTAGCATTACAAGACGCTTCGTATTCCTAAATCAAATAAGATATTATATTAGTTATAGTTAGTTGTTAACTTTCAAGAATTTAATAAAAATAATTACAACCAATACGTACACGAATTTCTTTGTCAATAGAATTAGCTAAAGATGCTGAGAATTTTTTCCAACCAACCGATTGTAGCTAATACATAGGGGAACTCCAGGTCAACTACCCATATTTCTTTACTTAATACAAAAGTCGTAATACCAGCAGCAAGTACATATGGACCTAGGGAACAATTTTGTTTTTGTAATTCAATTTTGATAACATTTAGATACAAAAAAAAATAAATAGTTTTAAAAACATACTAATGTTTAGTTACCTAATAATGGTATACTATATTATATATATATATTAGCAAAAAAATTAAAATTATTATGTTATTATAAATATTCTAAAAGTCAATGGTATTAGCTATTAATATTAAATTTAGATTCATGATAATCGTATATTATATATTAGGCAGTCAAAATGATGTGTAGGTACCGGTACATGCCTACACTATGGCATTAACTATATTATTCGACAATGTCTATCTAACACTTTTATTGCCCATGACGCTTATTTGTATCATCAAGGTTTGCTTGCTCAATTTTTCAATTGATTATAATTTGGTCAACTTTAAGTAATAAACTTTTTGTACCTATCAGTGTCATTGAATATATTATCACAGATTATATTAAACTGTTTTGTATAATCTGTGATATTATGCTATAGAATATGTGTAAATTAATAATCATACCTAGGTTTTTCTATTTTTTTTTAGTTACCTAATTTGTTTTTTCATACAATCAAAAACGATGCACAGAAAACGTTTTAATGATTAAATACAAATTAGTAAGAGATAACAATGCAGAAATAATAATATTATTATTTAGAAATTAGAATTATATTTAAATACCTGCAGAAATTAAGTAAAAACAAATCAGAGGAAAATTGTCCACAAGTCTTACAGTTTAAAAGTCTTTATTATATTTCAGTTACACAAATAATAATTAAGTTTTAAGTACATAATATGACTTTGATTTGATTTTTATGATATTTGAGATTTTGATTGAATCAATGCATATATATTGTTTTTACAGTGAAGTGTTTATTTTATTTAGTCATCACTCGTCACCTTTTGAGTAGTACAAATGCTTCAATCTTCAACTTCAATATATTATCTGGTTATCTAGTACTATTTTTTTTAAGGGAGTAGGGTTCGAGGTCAAAAATAAAAATCTAACTACTTTTCTTAACAATTAGGAAAAACCAAAAATAAAATACTGAACGCATACTGTAAATCAGTGGTTATCTACTTGTACATTTTTTTTTTCATAATATTATATGCTCGATTTTTAATAATTGTAATTATTTTACACCTATTATATTTTTTCTACCACAATATCAAGATAAAATATGACAGTTTCTTCACAAAAACATTGTTTTCTCATATTATGTGTTAATAGAGAACGTCACACCCATTACCCACATTGAGTTATCTTTGACCTTTGTATTAGGTACCTACTTAGCTAATTTGTGTTCAGCAGATCCAATCGTATATTTTTAGCATTTAAGTTAGTGTGGATTGTTAATTGATCTAATAGGTACCTGATCACTAACTTAAAGTTCATATTTTATTATTATCAGTGTTCGTACGTTGGATTTTTAAAATATTTTAACTTCAAATAAGTTATGAGTATGCAAAAATACTTTAGGGAAAAATGTACAACATCTAGGTAATGGAGTAACGTTTTGTATCATTACCTGTGACTCCAGTCTTTTCGTAAAATATTTCAAACCACTCTTCGGGCACGAACAAATATCTAGTTTTAGGTGGATCTTCTAACCTCACCATTCTAGGAAAATTAACTAGATCACGTTCAGGACCGTTGAACGGATTCGGCTGGGGTTGGCCATTAGGTTTTGGGAACCCCGGCACAATAATTGATTCATTAGTGACAGCAACTGCCGGTTTGGTTTCAGGGGTTTGAGTGGTGGCCACAGCACTAGTACATAGTTTTGCTACTCGGAACAGTTCTGTAAAAACCACATTTCAAATAAAATAATATTTGAATATATGTTCAAGACTCAAATTTTGACAAAATGTATCCAATTAAAAATTATTTTGTAGTAAAAAATTATAAAAACTATCATTTCTAAGGATTAACAATTTAAAAGAAGCTTCCATTCGTAAGTAGTTAATTCTGTAATCAAAAAATATAATAATATACATCATAATCACAGTTTTTTTTAAATATTTATTTTGAGTTAGTACCTCTACACATAATATAAAATGGATTAGACTGGCAAACTTTCTCCGCTCAGAATCGTTTTTTGTAAACAATAATAATATTATATCATTGAATTAAAATTTACTACCATCCATAACAGTGACCAACTTGTAACCTACTGTGCAGCAGAGTAACAACCACTTATCCGTTTTTTTTAAAATTTGTTATTGTATTATTTAACCGTGTTCGACCACTGTTCTACGGATTTAGTTACGTTGGGTTTCATAAAATTGCCCTCTAACCAGTCAATAAACATAAATTTTATTTGAAAAAGTGGTTATATTTCTGTTGAAGCTGTGATGCACAGTGAATCTGCCTTTGTCAGGAGTCAATGATTCACTGTACTTAGCAGCTTCTTTAGAAGTACAACCACGTGAGGTAGCTTTTAAATAATCCACCATTAGGTGATTATAACAAACTATATAGTATAGCTTCAATTTCTGCACCCATATTATACAGATGGTACCTTTGTAAATATGATTATATGATTAATACAATTATTGATACTCTACGCTTAGTATAGGTATTTAAAGCCGTATACCCAGAGTTAAATAAAACCGAGATGGGCAATCCACTTTCGGCGGATAGTATAATAAGTAAAATTATTTTTCTCATGTGTTGGTAAACGATTTCAAGCAGAAATAAACGATTATGGGGTTATGATTTTTATAATATTATTAATAGTGGGTAAGCTACACTAAAATTATACCAGTTTCTTCTAATCTAATACTCTCGTGACCCGATGGGATCCAAAAATATTTGTGGAAAATGTGTTGCCGATTGTTCAAAAACTGTGGATTTGCATACTTGCACGTTTTGGAAATATACAACCCGACTAATAATATCAGTATTTAACAACTAAATATTATAATCTATTTGTTTATCGTTCCGTTTAGCGTCTGTTAAGATATCCTCAATAATTGTTTTTTTTTTAAATCGGTAAGAAGTATTTATTTTTTAGTATTTACCTATAAAAACCTCAACCACACACTCTGTATCTTATAAATATAATAATATAGCTGATACCTACTCAATTTATCATTTTTATTTAATAGTTTATGAGCTTATATGACAAAATATAATACAATATGATATGATAATTAGGTACCTATATATAATAATTTTATATATATGATATCCTATCATAAAACTATTATTTATCTGAAACCAATGGCAACCTTATAATACAAACAAAAATATATTTTTTGTATTAAAGTTTCGTGAGCAGAATATATATTAATGTGTGAGTCACCTGTATGGGTCGAAAACAAAAAAGCTACAAATCCCCCACCCCAAGTCTCAAGGAATCTATTGGCATAAATTGTATTCAAAACGTTAAAGTAGTTTTTGAGTTTATAGACAACAAATAAAGAAAGAAACATTCATACTTGTTGTATATATAGACATGTTTACCTGTGCGTGATATATTATTTACTCCTAGACCGTGATTTTCAATTGCAGCACCCATACCTCCTTTGACTTTCAAAAAATCCGCCACTTTAAACATGACATCCTTCGATGTAGTCATGCTTTTCATTTTTCCAGACATATAACCGTACGGAGGAAAGTACCTATAAATATAATAGCAATAATATCTATTAATAATCTACAGGTATAGGTAATTATAATATTGTGCGTTTTTTCATAATTAAACAAGATTAATTAACTTATGGTTAATAATTATGGTCTCTAATATTTCAGGAGTTAAATTTCGAAATCAAAACAATAAATCACCTATTATATGGCTCTATAATATGACTTGATTAAATTCATATTGTTAAAATGTTTAATTTATCTATTCAGCACATTGTAAATATTGAGTGCTATATTTTTAGTATTTTGTCATGGTTGTTGATGAGGTGTTATTTATTTATCAGTAGGGCCTCGGACATCGGGGTAAGAACAATATTTTTACCAATACATAATGACCCGTCGATGGTCAGTCGATCGCTACCCGTACAATTTAAACCGATAACATCCCTCTTTTTGTTATATAAAACCATTTTGGCGGTATAGGTCCATAAAACCGTTTAAATGACAAACTTCAAATGGTTATAAGTTATATCATTAAAACAAAAAAGTTTCCTCTATATTTTTATTTTACATTCGTTTTCTTAAGTATGCAAAAATATATATTATTTTGATCGTAGAAAAACAGTTTAAAAAAAAAAATTGCCCGGTAGAGGACCTTGTCTTAATTGCTTTAATTAGTCATCTAGACCACGGACAGTGGCGTCATTCGTGGGAGGCAAGGTGATAAATTTAAACTGTATTATTATAAAACCAGCTATTTTTGGGGTTGGTTGTTGATGAGAAAACATAACTAAGTATATAATTTTTCTAATTTGAAGGAAATATAATGTTGTATACATAAGCACTAGAAAAATATTTTCACGATAATTATAATTAATATTTTTTTAGTTCAAATATATTATGGACGCGTAGGTCTTCGAATAAAATATAAATTCTAAAAACAAAATGATCACTCTCAAATTTATCCATGACTTCAGAAAACCTCTATATATTTAAAATGCTTCGATTTTTTAATTACGTTTTACCTGTAATATGTTTCGTATTGTAATTTAATTATTTGTTTCGTCCCTCTAGGTTCTAGAGTCTAGAAAAATATATTGAAGTACCTAGGTAGATTCCATAATTATTTAGGTCCCCTGCTTCTTTTTGCTATAAAATAAGACGTCTACTTTTGTCTCAGGTACTTATAATGTTATTTAAGATTAGAAATGTATCGAGATAAAAAATTTAACTGGAAATTAGCTTGCGTGAAAAACTATCTGATTTTTCTATTCAATTATAATTTGAGCTGATCAATACTTTTACCTCCACCTATTAAAAAATTGAAATGACACCACGGAGCACGCACTAAGATGAAATACATCTCACAGGGCCATATTACCTCATATATAGGCAGTATATAGGTGCTGTGCCTAGTGCCCACGAACAAATTGGGACCAAGACATGTTTAATAATAGTTGTAATTTAATTGAAAAAATTATTTGTGACATAATTTCTCTATATTTTGAAGAAAGTGCTTGTAGGGCCCCCACAAATTACTTAATCCAAGCCTGCAACTAGTACGTGGTCCATAGAGATATTATAATTATATGATTGAAAAGAGATAAGAGTTATTTTATTTGTAACTAAAAAATAATATATACCTAGCTACACGTAATTATCTTTCACGGTTCTCAAATTGCCTCCAACTTTTTGTCGGGCAAAATGTTCTTTTCAAATATTCTCATCGTTGGTACTTTTCTAATTGCGCTTAGCACAGCTTGAGATTTGGAAAACATAGAATTCCAGAACGTCATATTCAATCGATTGAAAAACGTAAAGATTTCACTCTTTTTATAAACAAACAAAATATATTGATTTACAGTTGTACTTTACAATATTTTATTTTATTTTTTATTTTATTTTAATACGGGCCGCAGCCTTACAATAATGATGTAACCAAATAAACTTAAATCAATAAATCGTAAACAAATTAAATATCCATGGTCACGAAAAATATTACAATTTATAAAATGTTTTGATAATATTTATATATATAAAATGAATGTAAATGTTTTTTTTTTTTTGAGCTAAAGGCCGTCAACTATGACCATTATATGTTTTTAGGTTGTTTGTAGGGGGAGGAACAGTTGGTTGTGGTAATCTTAAATATACTACCTATTTATAAACTGATAAGTAAATTTTAAGATTTTATCATAATAAGATAGTAGAAGGTTAGGTTAGGTGTTAGAATCATGAATTTATTTAGATACTAGTCGTTAATCGTTATAGTCCAATCGATATCCACTTTTTACCTGGAAAGTATTCCAAAATTAACTAAATTTTTACAGGTTGTCAGGGGTACTCTAAGATGTCTATCCTAAGTTTTCGACCTCGAGGACCCTGTGCTAACTTAGGAGGGGGGGGGGGGTTTGCAAAAACACCAAAACTTTCAGACGACTTTTTTCAGTTTTTCGCTTAAATCTTCTAAACTAATCATATTTTGTGGTCTACAGGTTAAAACAAAGTTGTAGACTATTAAATTTTCTAAAATGTGGTTGGTAAAAATTATTTTTAGATCAAAAATCCACCGAGATACAGTCGATGAAAGATAGAAAAAGTTTCTCAAAATTTAAAAAAAAAACTGAAAAACGAAGGTTTTGGTTCCGTAACTATTTAATGCCGTAATTTTCATATTAATTATATCAATCACTTATCAAAATTAACATCTAAGAACAAATATGTACCTCCCTGCCCCACCCCTTCACCAACACCAAACGTGAAGATACAATGTTGTCCTAATAAAATTATGCCTTTATTTAAATACATTTTATACTTTTATCACTTTAATTCTTGATTACTAAACTTTGTTAAAAATAAAATTAAAATTTTACCATTTTTTATTGCATATAAATCTTAGCATTAAATTATTAAACGTTACTATGGTACGTCCATATGGGATAAGCAGTACCTATATGCACATTTCTGTGAATTTGACGTCCTGCTTAATTTTATAATATAATAATTGTGAAACACGGCACTTTGGATAGGCAATATAGGTACATTAGGTACAATCTCGAAGAGTCAATGCCTTACAATGTTCAATACTTGAACGTGCCATACTTCGTATTTGTTTCATACATAACTCGTAAATTAATTAGTATAAATAATTAATGATCATAGGTAAAATGATGATTGAACCGCCGTCTTTTCTGAAGTTTCTTCCTACATCAGGCCTGGGAATAAGTTGGGGCAAACCGCATACGTAGGTAACAATACCGATGTGGATTTAGGGTAAAAACAGATTTTGTCGATTCTATATTATAATATAACGTAGTAGGTACCTATAGTCTATAGATGATAGGTGTATAGTACCCAAGGCTGGGCATTAACGAATTAATAAATTAAAGTTAAGTTACTTTTAACTAAGTCAATTAACCAGTTACTTTTTTCCCGTTGTTTTTCAGTAGGTCATTAATTTTATTGGCACTTAAAGGTAATTTTTTCCCAAACCACATGTTTAAAATAAATTCAATTTTTTAAAATTGATTATATAAAAAAAACCCAAAGTATTAAATATATTTTAGTAAATAATAATTTATAATAATAGTAAGTTATTATACTGCATATTGCATATTCACAGAAAGTATTATATACCTACCTAACTATATTATAGACGGAATGTTATAGGGGTAATCGCGTCATTAATAAAAGAAAATTATAACAATTTACTCAGTACTTATTGGGCAAGTTAGTCACTTTTTTCAACTAGTTAAAGGTAAGTTACTTTAATATAAAAAGTAATCAAGTTAGAGTATAAGTTAGTTTCTGAAATTTATAAAATGTCTAACTTAGTTGGTCTGATAGAAGTTAGTTTGGTAAAAATAGTAACTTAAGACATAAGTTGGAGTAGAACTGTAGAAGTTAAAAGTTAGTTTTTTAGATTCTGAGTGGAACGACGAATGTTTTGATTTTACAATGATGTGTTTTTTTTTTTTTTGTGTCCGTCATCTGATTTCTATTAAAATTTTCTAAGGTTTTAAAATGTAATACAAGATTCCTTATAAGATTATCTACCTTTATCAAAAAAAATGTCTATAAGAAAGTCAAATAAAATTTTTATGAGCGTTTGAAATTCAAATTATTCAATGTTGAATGTTCACTCGATTTCTCATGTAGCGATTTCGTTATTTAGTTGTAATTCAAAAACGAATAACTGTACCTAGATACATGAAAATTTCACTGAATATTTATATTAGCATTTCCTATACACAATACAATTTTGGAAATATTTTGACTCTTTTTTAACTGTTTACGGACATTTTCAGTTTCAAATTTTTTTAGTTTTTTATTCTATAAATATCAATAAAGTTTTATCTGTGGGGCCAAAAAGTGTAAAAATGTAATACAAGGCTCCTGATATATTGTAACAATATCAGTTGAAAAATATTAAAAATACATACGCACAATTTTTTTTATAAGCATTTAAAGATCGAATTTTGACAAAATTGAATAATTTTTTAGTAGTTAAAAATGTATAAAATGTTCAACATTGACAAAATTTATCAAATTTAAAATTGAATAATTATTTTGTAGTTAAAAATGTATAAAATGTTCAACTTTTATATCTAAGGATTGAAAATTTAAAACAAGATTCCACGTAAGTATAGTAAATTTTGTTACCAAAAAATCTAAAAAATACATAATCACAGTTTATTTTTATAGTCATTTTAAGTTCAACTTTGGACAAAATTACATACAAAAAACCTAGAATAACTATTTTAGTTATTTTGTTGTGATTGTGTAATACTATTCGTGGGTACTTGAAACTTCTAAAGTACACTATTATATTATATCTATGGAGTATGGATAGTATCAGGGTTTATTGTTGACGTATAACGCATTATAAGTGCCTAATGGATATTGTGATATGATTAATTTGGAATTTATTTTAGGTAAATTTTTTTTAACACGATAGATAAGTATATAATATGTCGTATACCTAGACTGACACACCGTCTCCGC